AACGTCTCCCCAGATTTGTTCCACTTTGACTCACACTTTCAAATAACGTCTCCCCAGATTTGTTCAACTTTGACTCACACTTTCAAATAACGTCTCCCCAGATTTGTTCCACTTTGACTCACACTTTCAAATAACGTCTCCCCAGATTTGTTCAACTTTGACTCACACTTTCAAATAACGTCTCCCCAGATTTGTTCCACTTTGACTCACACTTTCAAATAACGTCTCCCCATATTTGTTCCACTTTGACTCACACTTTCAAATAACGTCTCCCCAGGTTTGTTCCACTTTGACTCACACTTTCAAATAATGTCTCCCCAGATTTGTTCCACTTTGACTCACACTTTCAAATAACGTCTCCCCAGATTTGTTCCACTTTGACTCACACTTTTAAAGAACGTCTACCCAGATTTGTTCCACTTTGACTCACACTTTCAAATAACGTCTCCCCAGATTTGTTCCACTTTGACTCACACTATCAAATAACGTCACCCCATATTTGCTCCACTTTGACTCACACTTTCAAAGAACGTCTCCCCAGATTTGTTCCACTTTGACTCACACTTTCAAATAATGTCTCCCCAGATTTGTTCCACTTTGACTCACACTTTCAAATAATGTCTCCCCAGATTTGTTCCACTTTGACTCACACTTTCAAATAACGTCTCCCCAGATTTGTTCAACTTTGACTCACACTTTCAAATAACGTCTCCCCAGATTTGTTCCACTTTGACTCACACTTTCAAATAACGTCTCCCCAGATTTGTTCCACTTTGACTCACACTTTCAAATAACGTCTCCCCAGATTTGTTCAACTTTGACTCACACTTTCAAACAACGTCTCCCCAGATTTGTTCCACTTAACTCACACTTTCAAATAACGTCTCCCCAGATTTGTTCCACTTTGACTAACACGTTCAAAGAACGTCTCCCCAGATTTGTTCCACTTTGACTCACACTTTCAAATAACGTCTCCCCAGGCGTGTTCCACTTTTACTCACACTTTCAAAGAATGTCTCCCCAGATTTGTTCCACTTTGACTCACACTTTCAAATAACGTCTCCCAAAATTTGTTCAACTTTTACTCATACTTTCAAATAACGTCTCCACAGACGTTTTCCACTTTGACTCACACTTTCAAATAACGTCTCCCCAGATGTACTCCATTCTGACTCACACTCCTAATTCATTTATTTTATCATTGAGCTGTTCAACTCTTCGTTTATTAACTTCCTCCAGTAACGGAGATCACAAACCACCTGTTCGAGCCACAGAGTGGTCCGGCGGGCCGCGGCCTTGACCTTGTAGCCTTGAACATCCAGAGGGCCAGGGACCACGGCATCCCCCCGTACAAGGCATACCGCGCCTTTTGCGGACTGCGACCGCTTACCGGTTTCAACGACGTCGAGGCACTGGGACCGAACGTTGCTCAGCTGGCCAGGGCCTACAGGTAAAACAACTTTCATCCGGGCTATTTAACTCGTCGTTAGAATCTAAATTTGATTTTTTTTTTAAACTATGTTTGACCAAGAGACCATATGTTTGAACTTCGTGATTTATAACATTGAATTACCTGACACCAGGTTCGGAAACTTGTGACTGTGTATATTCTACAGGGACATTCAGCCAAATACGGCTGCAAATATTGTTTCGGAAAAGCCGTTAAACAAAATATTCTTCCGGGCGATCTACCGCATTACCCGGACTTGGAGCTTTCGGAGCTTGCCAGTTAGTTCGGAGCCCCAAATACCGCACTGCCCGGACTTAGAGCTTTAGGGGCTTACCGGTTAGTTCAGAGCTCCAAATAGCGCATTGCCCGGACTTAGAGCTTTCGGAGCTTGCCAGTTAGTTCGGAGCCCCAAATACCGCACTGCCCGGACTTAGAGCTTTAGGGGCTTACCGGTTAGTTCAGAGCCCCAAATAGCGCATTGCCCGGACTTAGAGCTTTAGGGGCTTACCGGTTAGTTCAGAGCCCCAAATAGCGCATTGCCCGGACTTAGAGCTTTAGGGGCTTACCGGTTAGTTCGGAGCTCCTAATACCACATTTCCCGGACTTAGAGCTTTAGGGGCTTACCGGTTAGTTCGGAGCTCCTAATACCACATTTCCCGGACTTAGAGCTTTAGGGGCTTACCGGTTAGTTCGGAGCTCAAAAATACCGCTTGCCCCCACCCCTTCCCCAATGTCTTAGGCTGAGCTAGAGCGTGGAATGTGGTTTGCTGGTGGGCAGAAGAAACGCTTTAAAAGCAGACTAAAATTCTCAGTGAATGCTTCCCATGTAGACCCGGAAACATGGGAGCATTTGGCAAAAGATCGGGCATCGGTCCCATTGACCTCATCGGCAATCTGCGCACTGACGGGCAGAATCAGAATGGGCAGGAATCCGATGATTGAAATGGACTCAATCGATAAGACGGGAAAAAATACACCTACCAAATGTATTGAAGGACACTCTGCATGTTGTTTTGTCCACGCAGATTTTTTTTTCGCACCTGTGCGCAACATTCCGAATACTTGGGGCACTTTTATTATGAACCTCCCTGCATCATTTAAAGTAATTAAACATTTATGGAAATTTGTATTTCAAAAACAATTTAAAAAAAAATTGTATTATCATTTCTTTTTTCAATTTAAAACCTTAGGTATAGATAATATATTTTTAATTTAATTTTCAAAACGTTACAATACTAAGATCGATAATATAGAAATAATATTATTGTGGTTTTTTTTTAACTAATGTGTCCCGTGGACAGCTCTGTAGATGACATTGACCTGTTCACCGGTCTTGTCCATGAGCCCCCTGTGCATGGGAGCAACGCCCTGGTTGGTCCAACACTAAGCTGCATCCTGGGCACCCAGTTCTATAACCTCAAATTCGGAGATCGCTTCTTCTTCGATACGGATGAGCAGGTCATCGCCTTCACCAACGGTACTTCTCTATATTTCTAGATTCGTTTTAGTTACTAGGGTATATTTAGCTTGCTTATTTTATTTACATATTTTTTTTAATCAAGGACTCAATTTAGTATATATATACATATAACTTAAATATAATGCATACTTGGGGTGAGATGAAACAAGTTCATGTCTTTACATTTAAAAAAAAAGCTGTTGATATTTTCTAAAGGAAATTCTTCGCGTGTGCCTTCTGTAAAATATTAGAAAAAAATGAACGCAGGTGATGTTCGCACATAAAATAGTTTGTGTTTACTCCCCTTGTGAAAAATATATGTATCTATAACTTTTACTTGTTTATAAAAATTTATATATATATAAATTCGTTTCTGTTTGTCAGACCAGTTGGCGTCGTTGAGGAATACGACGTTGGCTAAAGTTATCTGCGCCACGACAAAGATACCAGAGTTACCGAATAACGTGTTCAGCTTCCCTACTAAGTAAGTTCATAACATATTAACTTGCACACGCATTTACTTCACAACTTATTAACCTGCACACCAATTTAGTTCATTACGTATTAACTTGCCTACCAACTAAATCAATATCATATTCAATTTCCCCACGAAGTTAGTCGAATTTTGACTGTTTTTTTCGAATGAGAGTTAAATGACTTGTCCTTAATAACCGTCAAAAATGTGTACCTGTGTTCATCAATAGTTTATATTAAAGCGAATGTAAGAATCATAATGAGAATTTTAGAAGGGAAATAGCTGCTTATTCTGAAAAGGCAACGCTGTTCTAAACGCTGGCTCCCTCATCGTTAGTTCCAGAGAGATGTAAGATGGATAGAGATTGTTAATTAAATGAATAAATTTAAAAGTCAAATATCTTTTACAATTTTATCAATGCAGTCTCCATAACAGGGTCTAAACATTGCTTAACCTCGAGAGATTGTAACACAACAATTAATATATCATTATTATAATTTAATTTTAAAAATATTTTTTAATAAAGATAAATAAATCAATCTAGTTATTTAACTTTATGTGAAAAAAATTGAAGAACTTTTTTTTTGCCTAAAAGTTTATTTGAACTTTCCGTTTAACAACTTAAGGGGAAAACAATATATGGTGTGTATATATATATATATATATATATATATATATATATATATATATATATATATATATATAATATTTATTTTTTTTCTTTATTTTTTATATATATATATATATATATATATATATATATATATATATATATATATATATATATATATAATATTCATTTTCATTCTTTATGTTTTAACTTTCTCGTTTCTTACAGAGGAAACCCATTAGTCCCATGCCCAGAGCTAGAGGCTAGCGGTCTCCACTTATCGCTGTTTGCTTAGGGGAGTCGGCGCAGACGATAATCTTTTCAATAAGCTCAATGTGTCGTTTAGTGGCACGAATAAATTCAGTATAAATCGTGTGTAGTATGCCTACTAAATTTTCTTTTAATAAATGATTGTTTATGAAAAATAATAGTTTTATTTAAATTAATGATGGAATTGTGATTTGTTTAGTTGTTGCTTTTTTTTTTTTTTTTTTTTTTTTTTTTTTTTTTTTTTTTTTATTTTTTTTATATATATTTTTTATTTTAAATTCAAATTAAATTTGATTTGGTCTACATTATTTTAGGCAAAAACAAACGAAAGATAAGATCAACAGAGAAGGAAAGAAGAATATCAACATAATTTTGATAACCACACACGTGTTCAAATCAACACAATGGTAGTAGCAGCATTCACAAATAATGGAGAACTTGAGTGTAATTCGTCACGGACTTTAGGGATTCTAAAATGGAGGATGGAAACGGGAAGACCAAAAAAAACCATCTAAAAGGATGTAAATCTAAATAACCTTGCCGGCTGTCGCCTGACGCAATACGCATCGAAAATTAATTAAGCTGTATGGTAATTTTTAATTTAAGTTTTGTGGGTAGTTTTAGTCGTTGGCTTATCGTGTGTTATCATCAGCCGACAGAACTTTTCGCTTTATTGTGAAAGAGATTAGACTATTTTAAATAGTGAACTACAAATAACAAATGCTGCTACAGCCTCACAAGAATGATCAGCTGAGCACAATACAATATGTTCTTTAAGTGCTCCTTCATGGTGTAAAATATTCACCACTTTACTTGCGGCAAAGAGACGTAGACTCATATCTTTTGAGACGTTGACCTCATCTGGCGTACAACTCCGACGAATCCCCCCCCCCCCCCAAAAAAAAAAAAAATGTTTTGTTTTTGGTGTTTTCCCCATCACAAAAAAAAAAAAAACCCCCAAAAAAAAAAAAGTGTTTAGTTTATGTGATGTTTCCCATGACAAACGAAAAAAAAATGAAAACAATGTATCTCTTTTCGTATTTCTTGAGCATTTTAAAGAGAACTGGAATGGCTGGGGGGGGGGGCTCGGATCGGGTGGGGCAAATACTGCCAAGTTAATTTAACCGGGTATGTTTAGGTTGCCATGGAAATTCTTTTGTTCATTCGATTCAACATGACGGCCATGGAAAAAGTTTAAGGCAGTCCTGCACAGCATACGGCCCGCCAGCACCCAGTTGGCGGCCCGCGAAGTCATGAAATATTCTTTATTAATATTAAGTTTTTTTATAGCTTTCGGCCCTGTCCTGTTATCTTTTGGCCCGCACAAGTTTTTCATGCCGCATTACGGCCCTCCTTACACTTTGAGTTGTGCAGGCCTTGTTCAAGGGATAGGAGTACCGTTGGTTATAAGTGACCAATGATAAAGGGCAGAAATGAGGGGAGTGGATTTAAAATACTTCATAGTTTTTCTATAAAATTATATCGTTTAACAGACGCTACTGACGACGTATAAATAATAGCGTGTGACTCATTAATATTAGCAATGTGAAGTATTAGTGCCAAATCTTAAGAACTTGGCAGTCGTACTTTATAATGACATTCCTTTACTCAGATTTTCTCCTCTTTCCTGTCTATCCCACAATCCAAAGTCTCTGACCCACAATTTGTGTTCGCTCGCCATGACTGGCGTCAATAAGAACTCGACCCCTTTTTGGGCAGGCTGGGCGAAGTTTAGGGAACTTAACTATGAAGCGTATGGGCCAGGCAACCCTTCGATCCCTAAACCCCAACCATGGCGCCCCAAAGGTTGCACACGAAAGGGCATTCTGTACGAGTTTCCCAAAGTCGACGAAGAACCGCCTGCTGAAGTAGAAAAATTAACCGAGGTAAGTTTGTGTATAGTTCAAATATGTCATGTATGATTCAAGTAAGTTTATGTATAGTTCAAATATTTCATGTATGATTCAAGTAAGTTTATGTATAGTTCAAATAGTTCATGTATGATTCAAGTAAGTTTATGTATAGTTCAAATAGTTCATGTATGATTCAAGTAAGTTTATGTATAGTTCAAATAGTTCATGTATGATTCAAGTAAGTTTGTGTATAGTTCAAATATGTCATGTATGATTCAAGTAAGTTTGTGTATAGTTCAAATATGTCATGTATGATTCAAGTAAGTTTATGTATAGTTCAAATAGTTCATGTATGATTCAAGTAAGTTTATGTATAGTTCAAATAGTTCATGTATGATTCAAGTAAGTTTATGTATAGTTCAAATATGTCATGTATGATTCAAGTAAGTTGATGTATAGTTCAAATATTTTATGTATGATTCAAGTAAGTTTATGTATAGTTCAAATATTTCATGTATGTTTCAAGTAAGTTTATGTATAGTTCAAATATTTTATGTATGATTCAAGTAAGTTTATGTATAGTTCAAATATTGCATGTATGATTCAAGTAAGTTTATGTATAGTTCAAATATTTCATGTATGATTCAAGTAAGTTTATGTATAGTTCAAATATTTCATGTATGATTCAAGTAAGTTTATGTATAGTTCAAATATTTCATGTATGATTCAAGTAAGTTTATGTATAGTTCAAATATTTCATGTATGATTCAAGTAAGTTTATGTATAGTTCAAATATTTCATGTATGATTCAAGTAGTTTATGTATAGTTCAAATATTTCATGTATGATTCAAGTAAGTTTATGTATTGTTCAAATATTTCATGTATGATTCAAGTAAGTTTATGTATAGTTCAAATATTGCATGTATGATTCAAGTAAGTTTATGTATAGTTCAAATATTTCATGTATGATTCAAGTAAGTTTATGTATAGTTCAAATATTTCATGTATGATTCAAGTAAGTTTATGTATAGTTCAAATATTTCATGTATGATTCAAGTAAGTTTGTGTATAGTTCAAATATTTCATGTATGATTCAAGTAAGTTTATGTATAGTTCAAATATTTCATGTATGATTCAAGTAAGTTTATGTATAGCTCAAATATTTCATGTATGATTCAAGTAAGTTTATGTATAGTTCAAGTAAGTTTATGTATAGTTCAAATATTTCATGTATGATTCAAGTAAGTTTGTGTATGATTCAAGTAAGTTGGTGTATGATTTAAGTAAGTTTGAGTATGATTTAAGTAAGTTGGTGTATAATTGAAGTAAGTTTGAGTATAATTTAAGTAAGTTGGTGTATGGTGCAAGTAAGTTTGGTGTATGATGCAAGTAGGTTGGTCATGATTCAAGTAAGTTTGTGTATGATTCACATAAGTTGGTGTATGATACAAGTAAGTTAGTTTATGGTATAAGTTAGTTGGTGTATGATTTAAGTAAGTTTGTGAATGATATAAGTAGGTTGGTGTATGATAAAAGTAAGTTTGTGTATGATTCAAGTAAGTTTGTATATAATGAAATTAAGTTGGAGTATGATTCAAGTACATTGGTGTATGATGCCATTAAGTTGGCGCATGATTCAAGTAAGTTGGTGAATTATTCAAATAATTTGGTGTATGATTCAAGTAAGTTGGTGTATGATATAAGTAAGTTGGTGTATGATTTAAGTAAGTTGATGTATACGTAAGTTGGTGTATGATTTAAGTAAGTGTGTGTATGATATAAGTAAGTTGGTGTATGATTTAAGTAAGTTTGTGTATGATTCAAGTAATTTGATGTATTATTCAAGTAATTTGGTGTATGATTCCAGTAAGTTTCTTTATGTTTCAAGTAAATTTCTATTCGATTAAATGTTTAAAAAGTATGACTCGAGGTAAATGATTACAGCTCTTGCTCATGGACTCACTGGGGACAGCTGGAACCAACTAGGACTGAATGTGAGCAGCTATAGTAGCAACTAGAATTAAAGTCTGAACTAGGAATAAATATAACCATCTGAGACCGGCTTACCAACTGTTACTACATAAGAGAACGCCGTAACCCTAACACTAACCCCAAACACATAACCAAAAAAACAAGTGTATGGCTAATGGTATTGCCGGGGTAGTGAACATTTCATTGGCTCTGAAATTAACTGATCAACTCAATCTGACAATATTGCCGCTTTGAGTAAAACTCACGAACCCTGAGGACCACTATGACAGTTACCTCATCTTTTTATATCTTTTTTAGAGAATTAAAAAAAAAAATAATAATAATACTTAAAGCCCTCCTTAGATAAACGCGAAATTTTATTTTACTATTGTCAGAAGTGGGCAATAGACCGGAATGTATTAGACTATTATGTTATATTGTTGATGTATAAATGTGACAACTACTTCCGTGTACAGCGGGTGACAACATAAGGTGGCACTTTTTTTCCCGATAGGGTTTTTTTTTTAAAGCGGGCAGCCTGTTTCAATTTCTCACGGTTGAAATTGTTTTATGAAACTTACCCCACTACTAAATGTTCCCTCTAAGGTTTGCTGGCTCGTGTGCAAACTCATACAGTTGTGTGCAAAGTTTTACAGCATCAGATTTTTTTGTGTGCAAAATTTTACCGCCCACATACACAAACACACACTTGCATGGAAATTTGCAGCGGGGATACTCAAAACAGCTGCGCGGCGTCTGTGAGTGAGCTGCGCGACCGCGCAGCTAAAATGGAATATTGCCCGCACTACCGGTAAGAAATGCGCTTTTTTTTTCTTTTCTCTTGCACAGCCTGAAGACTTGGAAATCACTGTAGGCGGCAAAGAGAAGTATAAGATGTGCGCTATTTGTCGTCGTCCACCCTTGGAAATCTTGACGCTGGACTGCGGCCATAACTTTTGTCGTCGGTAACCGTCCCTAAAGCATTAACTGTAAAGCTGGATTTGTCTTGATGTCATATTTGAACACTGAAGAATGAACTTATTTTTAATCAATTTTCTGACGCAGCAGCAGATAAAATATGTTAAAATGTTCTTGTCTTTTTTTTTCAGTTGTGTCCAAACGACTTACCAGTTCAACAGTCTGATTTGTGTTGTTTTCCATGTCTATAATATATCTTGATCACTTTGCAGATGCATAGCCAGCATGCGCGGTCAACTCATGCAAGACTTCGCGTCCTCTGTCAAAGACTACCGCGCCACACTCAAGTGCCCGCTGAGATTTTGCCACACTCACATCCCTTGCCTGCCCATAATCAACGGGGATTTCAGATTTCATCTCGTGCGTCCTGAGGATAAGGTTGAAACCCCTATTCCTAGTAAGCCATTTTTATCTTGATTTAAAAAAAAAAAATTAATTTACCCCCTGCTGATCTCTCATTTGCTTACACTGATAGGATCTTCTTTGTTAATTTGTTTTCTTCATTCCAAGATAACATAGGCACTTCATTCCAAGTTAACATAGGCCCTTTATCCCAAGATAACATAGGCACTTCATTTCAAGATAACAAAGGTTCTTCATTCCAAGATAACATAGGTACCTCATTCCAAGATAACATAGGTACCTCATTCCAAGATAACATAGGTACTCCATTCCAAGGTAACATAGGTACTTCATTCCAAGTTAACATAGGCCCTTTATCCCAAGATAACATAGGCACTTCATTTCAAAATAACAAAGGTTCTTCATTCCAAGATAACATAGGTACCTCATTCAAAGATAACATAGGTACCTCATTCAAAGATAACATAGGTACTCCATTCCAAGATAACATAGGCACTTCATTCCAAGTTAACATAGGCCCTTTATCCCAAGATAACATAGGCACTTCATTTCAAGATAACAAAGGTTCTTCATTCCAAGATAACATAGGTACCTCATTCCAAGATAACATAGGTACCTCATTCCAAGATAACATAGGTACTCCATTCCAAGGTAACATAGGTACCTCATTCCAAAATTAGAAAGGTACTTCATTCCAAAATAACAAAATTGTAGGTTGATTTTAAAATAAAAGCATGGCCATGGGGCGTCTTGGGGAAATGACGAGGCTGGCGTCATCAGCGTGAAGAGACGCGCGATGCGATTGACAACAATCCATCAGTCATAAACAAAACAAGTCCTATTTTCTAAGGTTCAGCACGACATCGTCTTAACACACCCCTCCATGTCACTTAACACACCCCTCCGTGTCAGTTAACACACCCCTCCATGTCACTTAACACCCCTCAATTTCACTTGACACATCCTTCAAGTCACTTAAAACATCCCTCAGTGTCACTTGACACATCCTTCAATGTCACTTAAAACATCCCTCAGTGTCACTTGACACATCATTCAATGTCACTTAAAACATCCCTCAGTGTCACTTGACACATCCTTCAATGTCACTTAAAACATCCCTCAGTGTCACTTGACACATTTATTTATTTATTTATTTATTTAGGCATTTTTTATAGCGCTCACCTTACAGCTCTAAGCGCTTTACAATTAATAAAAATTTGTGAACTATTTAAACTGCTAAAGTAAAAGAAACAGGAAAAAACCAGAGACACTAGAATAGTAACTACAATAAAATTGACTATAGAAACAGTAGCTTAAACATTAAATGGCTATAAAAACGCGTACACTTTGGCACGTTTTGGCCTATACTACAGGATCAACCCGAGACAGAAAATGAGGCAGGGCAAGGAGGGTGCATTACAGGTCATAGGCGGACCTAAACAGATGGGTTTTAAGGGACTTTTTGAAAGTGGACGAGGTTTCACAATGACGGATGTGGAAGGGGAACTGGTTCCAGAACGTTGGTGCATGGAAGTAGAAGGAGCGTTCACCGATGATCTTAGTTTTGGTTATTGGGATTGAGAGGGTTCCATTGTCAATTGGACAGCGTAGTTGTCTTGTGCGGTTGTAAGGAACCAAAAGTTCAGAGAGATAGACAGGAAAGTGAGGGTCAGTGAACGAGTTGAAGCATAGATTGGCAGACTTGTACTTGATTGTAGAGGATATTGGAAGCCAGTGGAGTTGCCGCATGTGTGGTTGAATGTCATGTTTCTTTGATTTAAAAATGAGTCTGCATGCTGAGCTCTGTTCCTTCTGAAGTTTTTCTATGTGGTGTTGAGGAATGCCTGCAAGAAGAGTGTTGCAGTAGTCAAATTTTTAAAGAATGAGTGAAGAGACACATCCCTTATTGTCACTTAAAACACCCCTCAGTGTCACTTAACACATCCCTCAATGTCACGTAACACACCCCTCAGTGTCACTTGACACGTCCCTCAATGTCACGTAACACACCTCTCAGTGTCACTTAACCCACCACTCAATGTCACTTAACCCACCCCTCAGTGTCACTTAACACATCCCCCCATGTCACTTGAATTATGCAGCAGCAAAGCAAAAATATTGGTTCTACCAAAATTAAACTGATAGTTGAGAAAGATTTCTCTTATCTTAAATGGAAACATCTCCTTCACCACTCCAGAGACGCTTCAGCTACTGAGACACGCTCACAGAGGGTCAACACACCTGCATTCGCTAACTTTGCAGACGCTATAGAGAAAATTTATTAACAACGAGCTCCAACTACGGCCTTTCTAACCCCCCCCCCCAACTTAACGTCACGTGATGCTTATTTATCTCACACCAGCATCTTATCGTAAATGGAAACATCTCCTTCCCCACGCCAGAGCCGCTTCAGCTACTGAGACACGCCCACAGAGGGTCAACACACCTGCACTCGCTAACTTTGCAGACGCTATAGAGAAAATTTATTAACAACGAGCTCCAACTACGGCCTTTCTAACCCCCCCCCCCAACTTAACGTCACGTGATGCTTATTTATCTCACACCAGCACTCACAGTCAGTCAACTCGGCTGCACCAAACGTCTTATTGGCATGAAGCCGCCTCTTCATGTTTGGCTGTTTCAACGTTGTTTGTTTGCTTTTGTTTTGGTTTGTTTTTGTTTTTGTTTTTTTGTTTTTGTTTTTAAATTTCACTGTATAATCTTCATTATTATATTTTTTATCTCTTCAACTGAAGTGCCGTGGTTTCTGTTTCCAGTTGCCGTGTGTGAGCAGCTGGCCATGAAACACTTCAAAGTCACGGTTGATATCGATTTCACGAAAAAGACCAGACCCGACCTCTTCGAGGGCTTCGAAGACGTCCCATAATCTTCTTTCTCGAAACATCTGTAAGGATTAACGTCTGCTAACATCGTCTGAATAGATTCTATGAGCTGCCTGGAGTTGTTTGTTTTTGTTTTTGTTTTTTAATGTTTTTTTTTTTAAATATTAACCATTCATCAAAATTTTCTTTTGTAACGCTGCGCGCCAGGAAAATTTGAGTGGCATTTAATACAGAAACAAGACATCCCAGCATAAAAATTTAAAACTTAGTTAATATATAAATATAAAAAAGTATATAAACTGGTATCATTTTCAATGATGTGTTTAGGGTCTCACTGGTATCACTTCCTATGATGTTTTAGCGTCTCCCTTGTATCACTTCCGATGATATTTAGCCTCTCACTGGTATCACTTCCCATGATGTTTAGCGTCTCACTGGTATCACTGACCATGATGTTTTAGCGTCTCACTGGTATCACTTCCCATGATGTCTTAGCGTCTCACTGGTATCACTTCCCATGATGTCTTAGCGTCCCACTGGTATCACTTCCTGTGATGTTTTAGCGTCTCCCTTGTATCACTTCCGATGATATTTAGCCTCTCACTGGTATCACTTCCCATGATGTTTAGCGTCTCACTGGTATCACTGACCATGATGTTTTAGCGTCTCACTGGTATCACTTCCCATGATGTCTTAGCGTCTCACTGGTATCACTTCCCATGATGTCTTAGCGTCTCACTGGTATCACTTCCCATGATGTTTAACGTCTTACTGCTATCACTTCCCATGATGTTTTAGCATCTCAATGGTATCACTTCCCATGATATTTTAGCGTCTCATGGGTATCACTTCCCATGATATTTTAGCGTCTCACTGGTATCACTTCACATGATATTTTAGCTTCTCACTCTCATCACTTCCCATGATATTTTAGCGTCTCACTGGTATCACTTCCCATGATGTTTTAGCTTCTCACTCTCATCACTTCCCATGATATTTTAGTGTCTCACTGGTATCACTTCCCATGATATTTTGCGTCTCACTGATATCACTTCACATGATATTTTAGCGTCTCACTGGTATCACTTCACATGATATTTTAGCGTCTCATTGGTATCACGTCCATGATATTTTGCGTCTCACTGGTATCACTTCACATGATATTTTAGCGTCTCACTGGTATCAGTTCCCATGATATTTTAGCGTCTCACTGGTAACACTTCCCATGATATTTTAGCTTCTCACTCTAATCAATTCCCATGATATTTTAGCGTCTCACTGGTATCACTTCCCATGATATTTTAGCATCTCACTATTATCACTTCCCATGATGTTTTAGCTTCTCACTGGTATCACTTCCCATGATGTTTTAGCTTCTCACTCTTATCACTTCCCATGATATTTTAGTGTCTCATTGGTATCACTTCCCATGATATTTTAACGTCTCACTGGTATCACTTCCCATGATATTTTGCGTCTCACATATATCACTTCACGTGATATTTTAGCGTCTCACTGGTATCACTTCACATGATATTTTAGCATCTCACTGGTATCACTTCCCATGATATTTTGCGTCTCATTGGTATCACTTCCCATGATGTTTTAGCGTCTCACTGGTATCACTTCCCATGATATTTTAGTGTCTCATTGGTATCACTTCACATGATGTTTTAGCGTCTCACATGTATCACTTCACATGATGTTTTAGCGTCTCATTGGTATCACTTCACATGATGTTTTAGCGTTTCATTGGTATCTTTTCACATGATGGTTTAGCGTCTCACTGGTATCACTTCCCATGATGTCTTAGCGTCTCACTGGTATCACTTCCCATGATGTTTAACGTCTTACTGCTATCACTTCCCATGATGTTTTAGCATCTCACTGGTATCACTTCCCATGATATTTTAGCGTCTCATGGGTATCACTTCCCATGATATTTTAGCGTCTCACTGGTATCACTTCACATGATATTTCAGCTTCTCACTCTCATCACTTCCCATGATATTTTAGCGTCTCACTGGTATCACTTCCCATGTTGTTTTAGCTTCTCACTGGTATCACTTCCCATGATGTTTTAGCTTCTCACTCTTATCACTTCCCATGATATTTTAGTGTCTCATTGGTATCACTTCCCATGATATTTTAACGTCTCACTGGTATCACTTCCCATGATATTTTGCGTCTCACATATATCACTTCACGTGATATTTTAGCGTCTCACTGGTATCACTTCACATGATATTTTAGCATCTCACTGGTATCACTTCCCATGATATTTTGCGTCTCACTGGTATCAGTTCCCATGATATTTTAGCGTCTCACTGGTAACATTTCCCATGATATTTTAGCTTCTCACTCTAATCAATTACCATGATATTTTAGCGTCTCACTGGTATCACTTCCCATGATGTTTTAGCTTCTTTCTCTCATCACTTCCCATGATATTTTAGCGTCTCACTGGTATCACTTCCCATGATATTTTAGTGTCTCATTGGTATCACTTCACATGATATTTTAGCGTCTCACTGGTATCACTTCACATGATATTTTAGCGTCTCACTGGTATCACTTCACATGATATTTTAGCGTCTCACTGGTATCACTTCACATAATGTTTTGGCGTCTCACTGGTATCACTTCACATGATATTTTAGCGTCTTACTGGTATCACTTCTCATGATATTTTAGCGTCTCACTGGTATCACTTCACATGATGTTTTAGCGTCTCATTCGTATCACTTCACATTATATTTTAGCGTCTTACTGGTATCACTTCTCATGATATTTTAGCGTCTCACTGGTATCACTTCATATGATATTTTAGCGTCTCACTGGTATTACTTCACATGATTTTTTAGCGTCTTACTGGTATCACTTCTCATGATATTTTAGCGTCTCACTGGTATCACTTCCCCTGATATTTTAGCGTCTCACTGGTATCACTTCCCATGATGTTTTAGCGTCTCACTGGTATCACTTCCCATGATGTTTTAGCGTCTCACTGGTATCACTTCCCATGATATTTTAGTGTCTCATTGGTATCACTTCCCATGATATTTTAGCGTCTCACTGGTATCACTTCACATGATATTTTAGCGTCTCACTGGTATCACTTCACATGATATTTTAGCGTCTCACTGGTATCACTTCACATGATATTTTAGCGTCTCACTGGTATCACTTCACATGATATTTTAGCATCTCACTATTATCACTTCCCATGATGTTTTAGCTTCTTTCTCTCATCACTTCCCATGATATTTTAGCGTCTCACTGGTATCACTTCCCATGATATTTTAGTGTCTCATTGGTATCACTTCACATGATATTTTAGCGTCTCACTGGTATCACTTCACATGATATTTTAGCGTCTCACTGGTATCACTTCACATGATATTTTAGCGTCTCACTGGTATCACTTCACATGATGTTTTAGGGTCTTACTGGTATCACTTCACATGATATTTTAGCGTCTCACTGGTATCACTTCACATAATGTTTTGGCGTCTCACTGGTATCACTTCACATGATATTTTAGCATCTTACTGGTATCACTTCTCATGATATTTTAGCGTCTCACTGGTATCACTTCACATGATGTTTTAGCGTCTCATTCGTATCACTTCACATGATATTTTAGCGTCTCACTGGTATCACTTCACATGATATTTTAGCGTCTTACTGGTATCACTTCTCATGATATTTTAGCGTCTCACTGGTATCACTTCACATGATTTTTTAGCGTCTCACTGGTATCACTTCACATGATATTTTAGCGTCTTACTGGTATCACTTCTCATGATATTTTAGCGTCTCACTGGTATCACTTCACATGATGTTTTAGCGTCTCACTGGTATCACTTCACATGATGTTTTAGCGTTTCATTGGTATCACTTCACATGATGTTTTAGCGTCTCACTGGTATCACTTCCCATATATTTAGCGTCTTACTGTCTTCAACGCCCATGATAAGTTAATCCTGTTGGATGCGTTCTTTCTAATTTATTAATGTTAAAAAAATTGAAATATTAACTTGCCTTACACTTGGCGATATAAAAGATTTAAATTATTCATATTGAGAAGGAGATTTCGTTCACTAAAGCACATTTTTTAGTGTCTGATGTTATTCTTATAGTTAGCAATAATTCACGTGATGCAAGGAAAGGAAGAGCTTGTCCTAATAGACAATAAAACAAATCCGACTGAACATGGCCTTATAATTTGGGCGAACTTCAAAAATTGAACAACAACATAATAATAATAATGGTAATAATAACAATTACTAGTTTTCCAAACTCAAAATAAATGGCTTTTTATTTTTTTCTCAAAGGTAACCGATTTCATAATGATCTCCTTTCTAGGGACAACAACAATTAATGACTTTTGGATCTTGAAATATGGAGAGAAACAATTGGTTGTGTGCATCTTCAAAGGTCGCCAGTTTAGATTTGAAAAAATCTCATCCATTTTAAAAGTTGCAGACGGCGCTTTAAGCTTTAAGTAAATGACTTGAAAAAAGTACAGGAAAGAGACTCTGAAGAATGTAAGAAAACCCATTTAGACTACTGTTTAAGTAAACCAAACACACAACACACACACACACACACACACACAAAGATTGGTAAGTACCTAGATGGAGATTGCGCGTCATTACCAACATTTCGTGTGGGTAACATTACTTCCACGCCATTAAGACTGTAACTATAAGGCCATGAAAGTGAAATAAAACACAATAAAACCATTTTGAAATCTATCGAACTAGGTCTTTGAGTAGGTACTTAAGAAATAAAGCTTTTACAGAACTGCAGGCATCAGATTTCAGAGGGCGGGCCGAGCGAGTTTGCAAGTTAATGGTTAAAAACAATCCCATTATTTATTGACAAGTTTTTAAAATGCACGCATCGTGAATTCGGCCAGTCTTTTGCACTGTTGTTGTTTGTCTTCAAGACATCGATACATGAATTTTAGATGAAAAGTAGTCGCGGCACTGTGTCTAATGGTGGGAAAAGCTCATTCCTTCAAGACATTGATTAAATCCAATATACTATATCGAAGGTCACGTTTCAGAC